CATTTGAACTGTGTGTGTATATATATATGTATATATATACATATATATATATATACACACACATTTGAACTCTGTGTGTGTGTATATATATATACCTATATATATGAGTGGTATGTATCTGTGTGTGTGAACTGTATATATATTTAAACTGAATATATATATTTGAACCATGTAAATACATACATATTTGAACTGTATGTATATTTGACCCATATACATATTTGAACCATGTGTGTGTGTTTGTGTATATATTTAAAATATACAAAACCCCAATTCATTGCCATTGAGTTGAAGCTAACTTTGTGCTGGCTCTCCACCCGGTGTTCAGAGGTTATGAATTACAGGAGAGGAGATTGCTCATCCTTTTCAGGGGCACCTGGTGGATATGAACTACATGCCTCTGCGTTGCCAGTGCACCTTCTTACACTATAGGACACTATAGCTCCCTTTTTAAGGGAGCTTTATACTTATTAAATATAAGTTGTCTTTATATATAAAACCCTGATGAAGTGTTGTTGAATATGTGCAGCAGCTGGACTCCCCAAGAATTGATGGTGGTAAACACAAAATAGCACAGCCACTTTAGAGAGGAGTGTGGCAGTTAGCTTTGTTTTGTTTTTTTATTATTACATGTGTAATTTCTCTTTTGACCAAACAATTCTATCCCAAGGTATTTCTCAAGAGAAGGGAAAGCAAACGTCCATGCAGAGGCATGTACTGAAAGATCATAGCAGTTTTACTTTTGATAGTGTAAAATCAAAACAACAAAGTGTTTAGCAACTTTAAAAATCCAAACACAAAAAATGTGGTCCACCATGAGGACTGGATGTTGTTCTTGTTGGGTGTCTTAGAGTTGACTATGATTCATAGTGACCTTATGAACAATGAACAATAAAAAGCAACAGATGACATGGGCTAGGGGAGAAGTGGGTCTCAAATACAACATAATACACAGAGAACAGACAAAACCCACAAAATTCACCATATAATTCCATTTATATGACCTTCTAGAAAAGGTAAAAGTACAAAAATGGTAAGTAAACTAATGGTTGACAGAGGCTGGGGATTGATTGCAAAGGACAGGAAAAAATCTAGAAGGTAATGGAAGTGTTCTGGAACACGATTATGATGGTGGTGATGACCAGGATGGTGGATATTCCCCAAACCCCTTGACCTGTCCACTTGAAATGGGTGTATTTTAGTGAATAAAACTTATGCATCAATGACACAAACAAATACCCAGCAGAGACAATGAGATCTGTTGAATAAATTGACTAATCTACTCAATTACTAAACATTATTTGGCAGTAATTTGTATGGGGTTATATCTCTTGAAAGTGCTTCTGAATCAGAGAAGCAGTACACAGAAGCAAAAGAATCAATTACCTATAAAACACTGAGGGAGCTCTGGTGGCCTAGTGGGTAAGGAGTTGTACCACCAACCCAAGGTGGGCAGTTCAGATCCACCAGTTGCTCCACAGAAGAAAGACAATCTCCTCCTGTACAAATTTACAGTCTATGAAAATCCACTGGATGATCAGCTCTGATCTGAAGGCATTGAAAAAAATAAAAGAAGAAGACCATTGATCCTATTAATAACTACAGTTTTATATGAAGTGGTATACTTTGAATCTAATAAAACACTTTTGGGCAAGTATGACGAGATTTGTAGGATCTTTGAGTTATCTGCATTTTTTTTACCTTTATTAAAGAAAATATGAAAATAAAGCCTTTATAACTTGAGCTCATTAAAATGTTGGGCACAGTGCTAAACCCATGCTTATGTCTCTTGCAAGAAGATAAGGCATAGATAATGGACAAACAAGAGAAAGCTGAGTTGCCCATTGGTTGCCAGAATAGATTAAGAGTCAGAAAATTTAGAAAATACTGATGCATTTTCTTCTGGGTAGAAACAGCCTTTCCTTAGCTCTGTATTTATTAGTACAAAAAGAAAAATGCTTACCATAGAAAATTAAAAAGTACTTAGGGAGAGAAAGAGAGACAGGCAGAGGGAAAGGGAGAGGGAGAGCGAGAGGGAGAGGGAGAGGGAAAGGGAATGAATGAATGTATTACTCATCCAGCCCACACTGAGAGTTACTAAGGCTTCCTCCTGGTGGCTATTGTAAATGGACGCAGTCTGAAAGCATTAGGCCCCGCGTGCAGCACTGCTGGGGTGTCAACAAGCAAAAGCAGACACGGCTTCTATCTTCACGGTGCTCACAGCCCTTCTAGACATCTTTGTTAAAAGATTATCCATTTTGTACATTTGGAACCATCTCACATACACTGTTTTTTAACTTGCATTTTCATTTTAGGATGTGATGTGAAAGATTATGGCGACCTGCACTTTCCTGTTGTCCCTAATGACACCCCCTTTCAAATCGTGAAGAATCCCAGGTCGGTGGGCAAAGCTAATGAGCAGCTGGCTGCCATGGTGGCAGATGTGAAGACAAGCGGGAGAACCAGCGTGGTGCTCGGCGGGGATCACAGGTGATTATCTGTGGAAGTCTGGCTCAACCACTCTCAGAGGGAAAAGCGGGGGGGGGGGGGGATCTGAGGGGTGCTCTCCATCTCCCACTTCTATCAGTGGCAAAGACAAGCTTTTTACCAAGTTTTCTGCACTTTTTCTTTTTTAATGTATTGGATGTTTTACTACAGGAGCATATACTTAGCTCTGTTTGAAGTGTAGTGGTATTTTAGTTTTCAGAAAATAAAAGACATACGAATGGATTTCAGGAGACTGTTCAGCACAGGTTCGCACTGGTCAATAAACAAGCACCATGGAAATTCAGACTTTATTATCCTTGGTTACTGATAACATAAGTGACTCATCGAGGTCAACAAGTTAAAGATGTGTCTTCACATTATAAAAGATACTGTTTCATGAAATATTGAAATGTATTTATTTTAAAAACAGCAAGTTACCATAAATATATCTTAGTGCATGGCCAAACTTACTTAATTCAAGAAGCATTTGGCACGGGTATGTATGTATGTGTATGTGTATATACATACATACATATAGACAGATCGATAGACACACACACACACACACACACACACACACACAAATTATACTTTCCTAAGCATTTGGCACTGATATGTATGTACACACAAATTATACTTTCCTAACAACTGTTGTAAGCATTTTGGCTCTCATATATTTCCTTCTGGGCATACATTTGCTCCAGTATATGAATTTTTTAATGACTTTGTGTGTGTGCATCCAAATTGTATAGTACATAGTACACAATGGTATACTATGCATGTTGTTGTTAGGTACTGTCAAGTTGAGTGCAACTCATAGTAATGCTTTGAGCAACAGATCTGAACCCTGTCCTATTCTGTGCCATCCTCATCTTTGATACACTGAACCCACTGCTGCAGTCACCATGTCAATGCATCTCAGTGGGGGTCTTCCTCTCATTCACTGACTCTCCACCTTTCCAAGTGTGACAACTTTTTCCAAAGACTAGCCTCTCCTAGCAACATGTCTAAAGTATGAAAGATGAAGCTTTGCCTTCTTTGCCTCCAAGAAGCACTCTGGCTGCACCTTTTCTAAGACGTACCTGTTATTCTTTGGACAGTCCATGGGATGTTCAGTACATTTCTCCAACACTACAGTTCAAAGGCATCAATTTGTCTTCTCTCATGTTTATTTATTGTACAGCTCTCAGATGCATAGCAAGTGGCTGAATAGACCATGACCTGAATCAAGTGCACCATGGTCTTCAAACTGGCATCATTGCTCTTTAGCATTTTTGAGAGATCCCTCAGAGTAGATTTGTCCAAAGCAATATCTCTTCTTTCTCCTGACTGTTGACACCCAAGGTGTTGATTGTGGATCTAGGCAAGATGAAATCATTAACAGTTTTAATCCTTTCTCCATTTATCATGATGTTGCCCACTGGCCCAGTGGTAAGGACCTTTGTCTTCTTGATATTAAGATGCAATTCATGTAGTCTTTGATCTTCTGCAACAAGCCCTTCATGACCTACTCACTTTTAGTAAGCAAGGTTGAGTCATCTGCACAATGTAGGTTACTGATGAGTCTTCCTCCAGTCTTGATGCCACATTCTTCTTCATGGAGTTTAGCTGTATGAATTATTTGCTCAGCATGCAAAACGAAATACGTATGGAGAAAGTATACACTCCTGATGAACACCATTCCTGATTTTAAATTATACAGTGTTTTAATTTTTTGTATATTTTTTCTAAATAAACTAGATCCAGAGAATAAGAAAAGTGTCTGAGACAATTTCTGACGTGGTTAGTGTTTCTTCACACTTTTATTGTTATTTCCTTTTGGCTAAAATTATTTAGCCATTTCATTAGAAGATAGATTTTTGCAAAAGTAACTGTTATTTTTTCCCCCCAGCAATTATATCAGTTAAACAGGACATTCTTGTGTTTGTTAGGTGCTGTCAATGGGTTCTGGCTCGTAGTGGTTCTTTATGCAACAGAACGAAATAGAGAGGCTTTGCTCCGTCCTCACAGTCTGTGCTGTATTTGAGCACAATGTTGCAGTCATTTGTTTGAAACCAAAATATGTCAATTCATCTGGTTGAGGGTCTTCCTCTTTTTCATGTCTCTGTTCTACCAAGCAAGATGCCCTCCTTTGAAGATTGACTTCTGCTGATAACGTAACCAAAATAAGGAGGACCAAGTCTTACCATGATTACTTCGAAGGAACATTCTGGCTGTGTTTCTTTCAAGACAGATTTGTTCATTCTTCTGGCAGGCATAATATATTCAATATTCTTTGCCAACTGCACACATTTCCCCTTGTAAATATTTACAGCCTCAGCAATCCAATCGTGGTTACTCTGACTCAACAGAAATGTGCTTTGCTAGCACTATAATCCAAAGGCATCTATTCTTTGACCTTTTTCAATGGCCAGTTGTCATGTGCATTATGAGGCAATTGAAAATCCTATGCCTTGGGCCAGGCACACTTAAAGTCCTCAAAATGACATTTGCTTTTTGATACATTAAAGAGGTCTATTGCAGAAATTTGCCCAACATAACACATCTTTTGATTTCTTGACTCCTGCTTCCATGGATATTGATTTTGGAGCCACAGAAAATGGATTCCTTGACAACTTCAATCTTTTTTTCCCCATTTTTATGATGCTGGCTAATTAATTTAGTTGTGAAGATATTTCTTTTCTTGATGTTGGGAACTAATCTATTTCAAAGATTGTAGGCTTTGTCAGTGAATGCTTCAAAGCCTCTTTGCTTTCAGTAAAAGAGTGAAATGTATTATCTACATTTCACAGGCTGTTAATAAGCCTCTGCCTGTTTTGGTGCTGCATTCTTCTTATAATCCTGCTTCTCCGTGTATTCCCTGAACATAAGATTGGTAAATACAATGAAGAGATACGGTATTCCTTTGTTTTGTTAGACTGATTGGCTTACTTACAGGTTGGGCAGAAGCATGATTAATTGTTCCAGAATTCTCATTCTTTAAATGTTATAGATAGGTTGTCATTATCTCCACAAAGTTCATTGCATAGTCAAAACAACACAAGTAAACATCTTTGAGGTATTCTTTGCTTTCAATCAAGATCCATCTGATATCAGAAATCTTTTCTTATTCCAGGCTCCCTCTTGAATCCGAATTGAATTTCTAGCAGTTCTCTTTTGATTACTGCTGTAATTGGGTTTTTTTTTTTAATTAACTTAGCAAAATTCTACTTGCTTTTGATATTAATGATGTCATTCAATGATTTCTACATTCTGTTGAATCACATTTTGTTTAAAAAAGGCCACAAATATAGATTTCTTCTAGTCAGTTGGCTAACTATCTTCCAAAAAGGCATAATTTTGTAAATACTTGTAATCTGTTGAAAAATGCTCGTTGGTATTTTTGTCAATTTTCTGGAGCCGTGAGTGTTTTGCCAATGGCATCAATGCAGCTTGAACTTCTTTTCTTTAGTTCTCTCAATTCTTGATCATGTCTCACCTCCTGAAATGGTTAAATGTTGACCTAATTTTTTTTTTCAATATAGTGATTCTGTGTATTCTTTCCATCTCCTTTTGATGCTTTCTGTATTTATCTGTTGCTCATAGAATCATTCAATATTAAAACTTGAGCGCTAGGGTTTCCCCTTCTTTATATTTAAAAAGTGACAAATGTCACTTAACACTTTGTCTTCTTGAGCCATTCTTTGAAATTTGTTCCATTTTACTTCATCATTTCTTCCATTAATTTTAGCTACTGCAAGTTCAAGTTTCAGAATCTCTTCTGACATTGATGTTGGTCTTTCTAATAGTTTATTTATTTTTCTAAGTCACTACTTGTAATTTCCTTTTTTTTATTTGAACGAAAGTTAATAAATCATATTGGCTCTTCAATCAAACATTCATGTATATTTTACTAACACCTTATAACTTATTAATTAACCACAATGTCTGATCAACCCTTGCTGTATTTTTCCTTTTCCTTAACCCAATTTATTCTTTTTCACTCCCTTCTCCTCTCCTTTCTAGCCCTGTTAGCCACCCAAGAATGATTCTATGCATAAATTTTGCTGAGGTTCATGTAATAGTGACCAAATGCCATAATTATGGAGCTCTGGTGGCCCAGTGGGAAGGAACGGCAGTGCCAACCCAAGGGCAGGCAGATCGAATCCATCAGCAGCTCCACAGGAGAAAGATGGGCATTCTCCTCCCATGTTATTAACTGTCACTGAAAAATCCTCAGAGCGTCAACTATGAGTTCGTTCCAACTGGATGGCACATAACAACAACACGCCATAATTACTCACCTGTGACTGATTTATGCCACTAGCATAGTTCCCTCTAGGTTCATTTACGTTGTGTGGTGTTTTACAAATTCTTTATTGTTCTTTGGTGTTACGTAATAGTGCATAGTGTGACTGTACCGTAGTTTAGGTATTCACCACTGACAAACATTCTTACTGTCTTTTAAATGAGCTTTTGCTTTCTTCATGTGTGGTAGGTGTCCTTGATGCCATCTCACATCCTGATCTTCTGTCAAAACTTGCTAGTAACTAGTGTCAGATGCTATACAGGTTCACCCAGCTATCACAAAGTAGAGCATTCTATGAAACCTTTTTAAGCAGAAACCATGTAGAGCAAAGAACCAACTACTAATTTACACGGGAAACAGTTTTGGGTATTCCTAAACCTCCAAAATAGCTAGTGAGGTCATGCCAAATAATACATAAAACCTACACTAACACTAACATACAGTGTTTACAGACATGACTTGAAAGCATGGTGGCTCGCTGTTGAAATACTGAGTGTATTTCCTAGGAAAGGAGATTTGCTACAATTCTCTCTGCTCTGGATGTATGCTGCCTTTTTAATGGCTTGTACAAAACAAACAGTGAACTCCAGTTTACATTTTTTTTTTAAAGTGAAAATATTTTTTAAAATTTCTTTCGGTTAGTGAAAATAGGTACTAACATGCATCTTTCACATACTTGCACTATGTTGTTAAATTTGATTAGCTGGAATCTCCA